ATGAAAATGTTTTGGAACTATTTGGTTGTACAACATCATGAATGTACTAAATACCACTCCGTGTTATACTTTAGAATAGTCATGTTGGGTGAATTTTGCCTCAAATTTTAAAACACCTCAACAGTGCTGAGGTTGAGAAATCAGTCAAGACTTACAGATGAAATGTAATATTTAAAAAAGTAAAAGGCAGAAAGGACTACATCAAAGTTATGTCATTATAAAGAATTTTAAAAAGTAGACTGACCCTGAAATAACCCATTTTTCTGTGGTAGGAAAGACTTGCCAGGAAAAAATAATGGCAGCTGTCAGCCCCAAACAGATTTGTATTACTATTATAAAATTATGAAGAGTTTACGATAAATTGGTGACATCATCTAAACTACAGAGACATGAAAATGTCACCATAATAAAGACTCTCAGATCTAATAGAGGCCAGAAAATGAAATAATTAATTGACTTTAAATGTATGCCTTCACTTGAACTATAAACCAGGGAGCTGCCAAATGAAATTAGGTACTACATTATGAGCTTGTCACTTTACACGGCTTGTCAGTTTGAAGATTCATTCCCTGTTTGAAAATATGGAGCTGTATGCTCAGAGTTAAAGTTTAGAATTGGCCTCAACTGTGCAGAAGAAGTTCAGCAGTGAATCAAAGAACTCAGATTTACTCTGGTGGCTGTAAACCATCTTTCCTTTCAGTAAGTCTTAAGTTGGGGACATGGTTGGCTTCTTTGGGCCAAGGAGTCAAGCACACCCATAGATTTCAAAGAATCATGCTGGTCTGTTTTAATAAGAAACAAACAAACAAACAAAAAATGACAGCATTCTACTGATGACAGCATAACTATATAATTATATCTGAACATCATTTACCATTAACTATAGAAAATAAAGATGGAAAATAACTTTTCAGATTTAGATTTTATAGACCTAAGATTTTCTTCTAAACTTTGAACTCTTTTAATGACCTGACCATTTAAGTTATCTCTGAGGACTAAATATTGGAAGAGAAGAACCAGAAAAAAATGCTAAAATATTTTCACATTTTTATTCTAATTATCCTCCACAAACAAGTCTTATCTGCTTTCAATCATTAAGCTACTCCAGACATATTGTTTTCTATAAAACAACGTAAATTAATTCATGGCTATTATTCCTATTTTGTAAAGGGGTGGGTAGGAGCATCTGTGGCTGCTATTATTGAAATAGCATGATGATTTTTTTCCCCAGAAACTCGTTCTTAAAATGAAAACAGTGAAATTAGCTATAGGTAATTAATACATACTACAATCACTGCTATAGCACTTGGAAGATGCAGTGTGTTCCAAGATAGAAAAATTAATGTGAAAAGGCACATACATTTTTAAAAATCAGACTCTATTTAAACATTCTAATAAAAGCAACAATCCTAGATTTTATTTGTTTGTTTGTTTATTTGGGGGTACTGGGGATTGAACTCAGGGGCACTAAACCATTGAGCCACATCCCCAGCCCTATTTTGTATTTTGAGATAGGGTCTCACTGAGTTGCTTAGTGCCTCACCATTGCTGAGGCTAGCTTTGAACTCGTGATCCTGCCTCAGCCTCCCGAGCTGCTGGGATTGATTATAGGCATGTGCCACTATGCCTGGCCAGATTTTATTTATTAAAAAAATTGGGGGTAAGAAAGCACCCAAAAGTTGCATTCTGGGTCAAGACAATATTTACTGGGAGTATTGAGCCTTTTATCATTTTGTCATGAATATACTACTTGCTCAAGGGAGGAATGGAAAGGGAGAATTAAGCTTTAAGTAAGTTCCACTTGAAGATGATTAAAAAATAATATACATACTATTTTGTGAGTCTATACATTTGTGAAGTCCTCACATTCCTTTCTTTGTGAAAATGATAATTCTGTTAGAATTTAATATGTAATTTTATTTATACATATCATTCTTTTTTGAACCAGCATCTTACCTTGTCTTAAATTATTCTGATGTTCCATGATGTATTATATTGTTTGTGCCAAGAAAAAGACATAAAGAAAATAAAAGGCATAAAGATGAAAAACTCATCATTCAAAAAGGGTGACTTTCACACAGGCTAGGTAAGCATTGTCGGGCCCCTTCCTTTAGACACCTTCCTTTGTGGGTTATGCAGAGGAATGTTTCCAAATTAAATTGTCTTGATATCTGGTATGATCAGCCAGCTAGTGCTGCTGCTTTTTGAATGATTACAAACAAAGACTGTTACTGCTCAGAAAATGTTTGTATTGGAGACACCCCACTATCTAATTCATATGTGTTTTAGCTGTTATGATAAATGCAGATAGACACTGAGCTCTCTCCTTTTGCCTATCTGTCCTGTCTCCCAAAATATATGAACATCATTGTAGATCTTAGAAGATAATTTCTTCCATACTTTTGACAGCAATAGGGGGCTCCTAGGTTTTTAATCAATTTTATATATTACTGATGTTTAGGATATTCAGAACATGGTTTATTTAAGGAAAAAACTGTAACATAAGATGACTTACTTTTACTTTTGCATTTTAGCTATTTACAGGCTGTAGACTATAAGATCTTCTGTTATTAACCTCAGTTTTATACTATATAAATGGAGATTATTCTCCTCATTTTATATCATAGGGTTACCTCATAACTCTAGTAAGATAATGTAGAGGAAATATTTATGAATTATGAAACATTCTTCAGATACTTGTTAATAACAAAATAATTATAAATCAGAGTCCCAAATACTAAGCCATGGCTAATACTTCATATATAGTAAATAGGATTTCAGTGCAATACATAGTAGACACTGGTGGCTTAATAATAACTTAAAAACACAACTCTGTTCTTACCTGTTCCCTTTTTTTAAAAAACTTAAGACTGTTTATAATCTTTTTCATCACATAATGAAAAAATTCTAACACATTTGTAAATAATTTTTATCCTTATTAAATAATACTAAAATAAATTCACCTCAATCTTAATTTCTCACCTATACTGTACAGTTGGCCTGATGTGTTCTTTGCTTTCATGGATCCTTAATTTATTTAACGAGGCTGGTGCCATATCTCTGTGATATTTCCCTTGGTGTCCCTTTGTATGACACATTGAGCTATGTTTGTGAGAATCTTTGCCAAATCCAGTAAAAACTTCATTGTATAGAACCAGAAAAGAGAAAAATGAGCACACAGTAGCATCTTTTTCCCCCTACTCACAGTGTCAGCAATTAACAAATGTAATCAGGCTAACTAAGCAAAGTTGGGAGAATAAAGGATAGCATCTCTTTGACACTCAGGATATTAAGGATGCTTTTAAAGTTGTCAACACTAGGAGTCAAAATGCTGCTATCACAAGCTTCCATGTTTGTAAAAGCAGCATTATGTGAAGCACTTCCCTTATCTCATCTCCAGGTTGGAACATGCCCATCTTTGCAGATTACATTATCCTGCCCTGTTCTTTAGCAGGAACTTTATTAATTGCCTGCCTATTTGAACAAATATTTGCTGAGATATCTTTTAAGGTAAAGACCTAATGATCCCTTTGCTAGCAACTGATGATTAGTCTGAAACGAAAAGAGGAAACAAGAAAGAATGGGTTGCTTGTCTCAGTGTGGGCTCTCTTCTCCATATGGCTATGGTGGTATGTAACAATCAGAACATTTTCCACATCTACTTGAAGTTTTTGGGATTGGGTGAGGACCAAGCTACAATGAAATACCCTGGAAGCTTCTATTGACAGCTGACTTTGGGGCAGAGCAGGGTCTGGATTAGTTCTAGAAATTTGCCTAGGTGATTCCAGGTTTTTTTATTTATTTTTAAAATTTCTAAACCTTCAGAGATTGGCATCTTTTGTGAAGGTTTGGAAAGAACCAGAATCCCTAGGACAAATCAATTTCCAAGAGAAGCTCTGGAGAAAACAAGAGAAAAAGCTGATTTGTCAGGGTTCAATAAGATTTTTTTCCATGACCGGTCCATCATTTGGGGGCTGCTTACCAAGACACATATGTAGATGAAGCAAATGAGGCGCAGTATAAGGAGGAGCTCTCAGTTACCTACACAACCCATGCCCCAGCCTGCTGCCTACAGAAGCATCTGATCAAATAACTTCATTTTGCCTGTTTAAAGAACCAGTAAAGACACACTTATTCAATAAGGATAGCAATGAGCCAATATCATTGCTCTATTCCATTATACTTTAGAGTTCTCAAAATACATGTATTATCACATTATGCCAACCACAACTTCCTGAGGCTAGAAGTACAGAATGCATTAATCCCACCTCAGAGATGAACAAACAATTTTAGGGAGGCTGTGAGATCTGATGGAGGTAGTAGATATAGAACTCAAATTCAGGCCTTCTGATTGTATCCAATACTTTTCTCACTATGCTACATCACACAAAGTCTTCTTCTGGGGTCCTTTATAGCACTCTGATTTTATCATCTTCACTGGTTAGAATTATTTATGAAGTCACTGTGGTAGCTGGTTAATATTTTCAATGAAATAACTTTAGATTTGTCTTTTGCCTACTTCCCATAGCCTTATGAGAAAGCAAAAACAAGCACAAAGAATTGATCTAACGTTTCTTAATGCTGGGCCTTAAGATCTTAAGTGAAACCAAACTGTTTACAAATCAACCTCACAGATGAATCATTTTACTACTGTCATTGGTTGCATAAGAGAAACTTTTTTAGTTGTTTCTATTACTGTTTAACAAAGCTTAAAAAACGTTGAAAGCATAATGGATAGCCTTGCTAAGAAGTGGGAAAAAGCTGGGTTTAAGCTGTCTTTCCCTTTACTGGTAGATCTCCACAAAAAAGCAGAATAAAAGACCAGTAGGCAACACGTGATATGTTGGTCTTTCTCTGCACAGCCCTGCTTCCGACAAAAACTTTCTAACACTAACAGGAAATACAATTTAGGTACACACAAACATACTTTGAGTTGCAAAAGAAATTTCCTGGCTACAATGGATTAGTATAGAGAGTTTTTAAAAGAATGAGAAACTTACCCCTCCCCATATTTTTTCGTGGCCTCTGGCAGGTCCTGGATGATGAAGGTTCTCTGCACAAAACAGAGCACATACACAGTGAGATTCACAGAGGCTGAGTCACTACATCAGATAAGCTCCATTATAGCTGATGTGGTTAATGTGAGCATTTCATTTCAGTGCATTCCAATCTTGCTCCCTTAGAAAAATGTTTCTTCTATCACAGATATCTAACCTCAGAGGACAAAACACAGTATTGTGGAAAGCACAGGCTCTGTATCAACTTACTATGAGCTTCTTTATCTGGTATTAGTTTATGTCCTTGCCAAATAAAAATCAAACTGGTCACACACTTTCTCTTAGGAAGGCAGTGATATCAACAAAAACTGGTGAACAAAAATGCCAAAAGGCCCAGTGTTAATAACCAGTCTAGCATGTTATTAGCTTGCTTGTCCCTGGCTTCCCTTCAATATCATTCTGTGACAAATCCAATACCCTTTACAGTTGAACATTTTCCTGAATGGTATCAAACAACAGCACCCCTAATCAAATTATCCCTGAGGCAAAGCAGCCCACAGAATGATTCCCAATAGACAGTATGAATCAAGGACCATGAACTATTGACAACAGAAACTTTGGAGAAACAACCACAGCCCCCCAGCGAATGCGCACACGTGGACATCACAGTTGTAAGAGGGGAAGGTATGTATAGGAGAGCAATATTTCTGTTTTTAAAAAAATCAAAAACATATACATACAAAAAAAAACAATTCATACCATAATGCTTAATTTTCTTACAAGTTTCAATCATAGAGCTACCATATATTTACTAGAGGTGTTCACTTGTTATGTTCCCAATATGGAACTAAGCACCTGAGAGGTAAAGCTGTAAGATATAATCTATCAGTCCATTAGGAAATTTATAAGTTAAGCAGGAAAAATCAAGGATTAATACTAGACTGCAATCTGATAACTAGCCATGTAACACTGGATAAATCATTTACTATTTCAAATTCTTTGCAAAAGGAGGGTGCTGAACTATATGGGTATTTCCCAAATTATATGCCACAGGATGTTAAAAGGTGTTACTCAAAACCAAGGCTCTCTGATCAAATAAATGTAAGCTACACAGGTTTCTTTATTACAAGATTTTTCAGAGACTTTAAAATGAGCAATATGGCAAAAGTACAGTCTCAACCTATTTAGCTACACAGTGGTTTTTGTAAACAATCAGCAGTTCTTAAGAGTTCTAATTTAAAGGTCATTTTGGAAAACTGGATAAGATAACTGCTAACATCTTTTGCAATTCTGAAATGCTACTATTTTCTAACACGATACTAATTATATGGAACAATATTAACAAAGTATATCAAAAAAGAAGGGAGTTGGAAAAAGATAAAGGGAAAAAAAGAAGGGATCTGGATTCTCAGAGAACTGTGGAGCTGAAAAGAATTTGAGAGACCATCTAATGTCTTCTCACTACTCCATCATTTTTGAAAGCATCAGACAGTCCTCAAAAAATCTTATGTAGAGCCAAGCATGGTGGCACACACTTGTAATACCAGCGACTTGGAAGGCTGAGGCAGGAGGGTTGCAAGTTTAAGGCCAGCCTCAGCAACTTGGCGAGGCCCTAAGGAACTTAGAGAGACCTTGTCTCAAATAAAAAATAAAAATGGCTGAGGATGTGTAGCTCAGTGGTAAAGCATCCTGTGTTCGATCCACAGTACCAAAAAAAGAAAAAAAAAAAAACTTTTGTAGAATACCAATTTATAAAATATAGAACTCTTCAAAGGGCTGTAATCTTACCTGCTGTGACTTTTCCTTGAGGCACCCTGAATATACAGTTAGCAGAAACTCAGCACTATAGGAGTGTGGAGTCCAGTGACTCCTGACCCTTCTGAGGAAGCTATTCTAGGAAGGCTTTAGAAAAGAGCTGGAATTTTTACATATAGTCACAGGAAGGTCCTTACCCTTCTCAAATAGACCTCAATTTTAACTATAAACCCTTCCCAAGCTGATAAATGAAATAATCATTATGTAAACAGAATTATAAAACATTTCTTACTCCAGAAATAACTATAAGAAATTCAACATGCTAAAGTATAACCCATGTACAAATGAGAAGCTATGAAATAATTGAGCAGGGGAATGATATGGCTAAATTTGGATTTTAGGAAGATATCTCTGACAATACAAGGGAAAGGAGATTTGAGGGGTGACGGTGGTTTGACCACGGACAGTAATATCAGATAATGATCAATAAATTTGGCAGGACTTCTTATATTTTATTTCTTGTTTATTCTTTAATATTTAATAAAGTCTTTTTGAAAAGAATCAAGCTTATTTCAACAGTTTTGGGGAAACCACAAAGGAAAGGGTTATCAGACACAGTCCAAGATTTTCAAAGAGGAATTGCCTCTCCAGAGGTCAACATGGAGGACCCAAGATGGGAGCCAGCCATCTTCTAGGGGAAGAATATAACCAAGGATGCAAAAGTGAATGCCCACTGTCAGCCATCTCACCTAGCCTTCTAGATTAGAATTTTGTTTTAAAGAAGATGATTTCCTTACAGAGAAACAGGGTTCGTGGCCTACTGCCCATATCACCCCAAACCCCAAATTCTCCCAGACCCAGGTTATCTCCGTGCTATTTCTTCTGTTGCCAATGGTTAGCTTGTTCTTTCTACTCTGATCTCTTGCTGCTCTAGTTTCTTCTTTCAGCTGGCGAGAGTGTGTGAGTGTGTGTGTGTGTGTGTGTTGTATGTGTGGCACTTTAGTTTTTATATTTCTGTCAGCAGGAATATTAATCTATCTTGATTCTCCCTCAGGTCACCACCCCAAACTAAACATTACTTCTATAGTAATGACAACATACTTAACAACAACAACAACAAAGCAGCTTTTGGCCAGACATTAAGACATCTAAATATGGTTCCATGGATTTGCCCAGCCTGGCACTAAATATCCTCTACAACCAGATTCCATTTTCCTTAATAGTGATACTACACCCCAGTGAAAACAGCCTCTACTCCTCCTTTAAACATGTTTTGAACTGTTCCAACTGCATGTCTCTGATCATTTCTTCTGCATCATCTGCATTATCCTACAAAAGTTCTATTCATCTTTCAACATCAGTAGTGAAGTCTTCCTTCATTATCTGAGCAGGAAGTAATCTCCTTTTCCTTGGAACTCTTATATAATATGGAACTTAGGTCCTACTGCATACAGATGTGCATACCTTATAGGATCTATCAGACTGCCTAATTTTTGGAGAGTAAGCAAATTTTCTTCTACACCTATATTTTGTCTGTGCAGGGCACTGGAACATCCCAGTGAGGATCCTAGTGGCCTATACAAACAGACTTACAGGAAGCTCACATACCAAGAATGTTCAAAACACATCATTTGCCTATTCCCCTTAGTACAGATCAGTGCTTCAGACTCCAGTTATTCACATGCCATCTTAATCAAATTTATGATTTTTGCCAAATGCTTCTATTATCTACACTTACTTAATGTTATTTCAATTAAGTTACTTCTTTTACTTCAGTATCCACTTTATTCTTGTCTTATAAAAAAGTATGCAGAATCATGGGTTTGACATATTATATATTTTTAAATGCATACAATGCTGAAATGTAATGTTCAATAGAATACTTAAGTCGAGTAAGCTAACATCCATAATATAAGGAGTCCGGTGTCACCAAAACTACCAAGGAACTATGAACAGAGTAATGCATCTCAAAATACAGGCTGGGTACTGCAAAGTGGACACTGCTTTATATGAGGACCTAGACCAACCTTACATCAATGTCCTAGAACCTGCTATCAATTCAGTTCAGCAAATATTAAACACCATTTTATAACACTAAGCAGTTTGAACACTGAATAATTACTAGGTAACACTATGCCAGGAAGAGTGTTAGGCTCCTTTATGTATTATTTATTTGGTGAGCTAAAAATTTCCTTAATTGGGGATACTAAAAATAGAACTTATATTTTCCCTAATTTTTTAGAATTGTATCAGTTGTTTTCAGTCTCTTTAAAAAAAATTGGTCCATAATATAAAGAATAGTAGATTTCATTGTGGCTATAGTTTTTAAATTGTATATATTTAAGGTATAACATGATGGGGTTTTTTTTTTTTTGGGGGGGGCACTGGGGATTTAACCCATAGGTGCTTTATCTCCAGTTCTTTTTATTTTTTGAGACAGGGTTTCCCTAAATTGCTAAGTCTAGCCTCAAACCTGTGATCCCCCTGCCCTAGCCTCCCAAATTGCTAGGATTACAGGTTTGCACCAGCACACCTAGATATAATGTTTTGATATACTTATCTGTTTTTGTGCATGGTGCTGGGGATTGAACTCAGGGCTCATGTGTACTAAGCAAGTGCTCAACCATTGAGGCACATCCGTAGCCCTTTTTACTTCTTAAAAAAACCTGAAGACAGGGCCTCACTAAATTGCCCATGCTGGCATTGAACTTGCAATACTTCTGCCTCAGTCTCCCTAGTACAGATGAACTGGGAGTACAGATGTGTGCTACCACGCCCATCTTGGTATAATTATCTTGATAGCCATGTACTTAGTGAAGAGTTGACCATAGTTAAGCATGGCTTTTTAAATAATGACTGGCTTTATATATCCTGATGAAGAATTCCAACAAGTTGGAGCATGGCTTTGTCACCACTTGTAACTGGGTTTGAGGCCTGGCATGCCAGTTACTATCTATCTGACCTTGGGCAAGTTATTTAACCTGTTTAAGCCTTGGTTTCTTCAAATATAATGGGGTTATTAATGATAGGTCTCATCTCATAGGCTTTGAGAGAGGATTAAATGAAAATAGCTATAATGATTCTTGATATCATTAAGTAGGAACTGTGAAGATGATAACAAAGGTTTGGCACACCCCCAATATCTTTATTCAATCTGATTCTTATAGTTTTTAGTTGGTCAATCTGGTTCAATACATTAAGTTTAACTAAGACTACTTAAGACAGAGCACACTGTAAAATAGATTTTATGAGCTGAATTTGAAAAATCAAAATTTGATTTTTCAGTTTTAGTTTTAGCTGC